AGTAGATATCTGACAGCAAGCTTGCAGGGTTACTTCCACCTTGGCTCCTTTCATAGATTAAAAAAAAGGTACAGGACACCTGGATGGTTAAGTCCAGTCAAGGTGACTCTGGGGTTGTGGCACTCATCTCGCTTTCAGGCGGAGGGAGCTGGCGTTGGTCCACAGACAGCTTTCCGGGTCATGTGGCCAGCAGGACTAAACGGCTTCTGGTGCAACAGAACACTGTAATGGAAACCAGAGCGCATGGAATCGCTGTTTACCTTCCTGCTGCAGCGGTATCTATTTATCTACTTGCACTGGTGTGCTTTCGAACTGCTAGGTTGGCAGGAGCTGGGACAGAGCAACGGGAGCTCTCTCCGTTGCGGGGATTCGAACTGCTGACCTTCCGATCAGCAAGCCCAAGAGCAAGGGTCAGCAAACTTTTTCAGCAGGGGGCCGGTCCACTGTCCCTCAGACCTTGTGGGGGACCGGACTATATTTTGCGGGGGGGGGGGGGATGAACGAATTCCTATGCCCCACATATAACCCAGAGATGCATTTTAAATAAAAGGGCACATTCTACTCATGTAAAAACATGCTGATTCCCGGACCGCCCGTGGGCCGTATTTAGAAGGCGATTGGGCCGAATCCGGCCCCTGGGCTTTAGTTTGCCTACCTATGCCCAGGAGGCTCAATGGTTTAGACCACAGCCCCATAACCTTTCATAACCTTCAGGGAACATTGTGGCATCAGCTGTTGGGCCAAGGACTCCAAACAAGTCGCAAAGGATTCTGGGGGCATTCCCTAGAGCGAGGGCAGAGTCAGTGACGCAAGGGCACTCTTGGGATTTTCTCTTGCACACCATGGACTAGGGGTTGTGCCCTCAAACGCACCCAACTTTCCCTTGCGGCTGCACAATGCAAAAGAAGATCAGTAGCAGCCTTTAGCCACTGTCTTTCAAGGAAGGCCATTGTGGATCTGTCCTCACTGCGGAACAGGCCATAAGATTCCAAACAACTTGGGGTCCCCAGGGAAAAAGTTTGAAAACAATATGGTGTGTCGAGAAAGCTGGCATGCCTTGCTATTTAATAATATTTGATTTAAATTATTTATTTAATTGTATTTGATTGATAGAACTGATGATCGATAGACCGCTCCAGACTGCTTTCTTACCTAGAAGAACTCCTCTTTTCATACAAATGGACTGCAGAATAGGGAAGACGAAGTAAATCCATTTTTTTTACTACCCTCCAAAAGGAGGGGGAAATGTTATAGCCATTTCTTGATCTCCCTGTGTGAGTTGACCCCCCCCCTTTTTTTGGACAGAATTGAATGATATCCTTTCTTTCTGAGAGGATGAAGCTTGTCAAATTCCAGATCAATAACTGGAGACTTTTGTGTGTGTGTTGGGCATCTTTGATACATTGGCTTATTATTATTATTTTAACAAACTTTTCTGGCAGAACTGGATAAAATTTTCAGGCCTAGAGGTTCCTTCCGAGAAGATAATTGCCACCAAATTTGAGAAGGATGGCTTATTCTGCAAGTTTGAGGGTAGTTTTAAAAAGGTGTAACTTAACCTCCCCTATTCTGGGGTCAGTTTGTATGAAAACATAGAGGTGCTTCTTGGTAAGAAACCTGGAAAATTTCAGATGGGCAGATGGAGGGATTTTTTGCGCTAGGTATGTTTAGAGGGGGGTGGGCACTGCAAAGGGATTTATTTCCTTCTCCCTCCTGTGGTTTTGTGGACAATTTATATCCATATACAGTAAAGAAGGCAGCCAAACTGAAGGAGAATGGCTGTAAAGATGAATGAAAAACACTTTTAGGGTGATTTTAGTTTTCCTGCTCAGCTGAAAACACTGCAGAAAGAAACTTTAAAGTGTTTCATCACTGACAGAATAAAATATATTAAATTATAAAGGTAAAGGGACCCCTGGCCATTAGGTCCAGTCGTGACCGACTCTGGGTTTGTGGTGCTCATCTTGCTTTACTGGCTGAGGGAGCCAGTGTACAGCTTCCGGGTCATGTGGCCAGCATGACTAAGCCACTTCTGGCGAACCAGAGCAGCGCACAGAAATGCCGTTTACCTTCCCGCCAGAGTGGTACCTATTTATCTATTTGCACTTTGACATGCTTTTGAACTGCTAGGTGGCAGGAGCAGGGATCGAGCAACGGGAGCTCACCCCATCACGGGGATTCGAACCGCTGACCTTCTGATCGGCAAGTCCTAGGCTCTGTGGTTTAACCCACAGCACCACCCACGTCCCTTATATTAAAGTATAGACTGTGCTTTAAAGTTGGGCTGTTTCTAAAAGGGATCCCCCTCTCCGTTCTGTAGGCAATTTGCTGCGTTCTGTGTTGTGTGACTGTGCTACACACACATACACACCCGCACAGTGTTATATTAGTGCTTAGTGCAACCATACAACCCTGCTTGCCCCCAGGGCACCCCCTCACACTTTTATTCTTTCAGCCCGAGAACAGGTCTCCAACCCACTCTCCATTTTAGAGCAAGATGCTGAGCACTTTTCTGGCCTTTATGCTAAGCAGTGGGAGAGGAGGCAGCAGAATGGCAAGCCAGGCTGGCTGCCTGGCACCCATGGTCCTCTATTATTAAGTTGCCTTTAGAAGGGATGCCGTGCCCTTCGCTGCCAGGCAACAGGGGAGAAAGAGCTGGCACAGCTTGATTCAGTTTGTGGGGACCCTGTGGAACTCCATGCACTGCCAGGGGCATTGGTGACAGCAGCACCCAACCACGGAAAGCACAGCAGTGGAGACAGGCAGCTCCCCATTTGTGATGGGCCTTGAGCATCCTTGGGAACACTATGTGCTGCTGCTGACACATACATGTAGCCGCAAAATGCACTGAAAGCACAGGATCAGCCTCTTCTTTGCTTCTGCATCCCTCCCAAAAGCACTGCGACGGGAAGGAAGAAAGGAGAACCTTGGGTAAGATTCCCCAGTTAAATGTGAAAGCTGTCCATCACAAAACTAACGGCCCCACATTTTCCACCCTTGTGTTTTCCTGATAAAAGCAAACTTGGGAATAAACGTTGCAGTTTTTGCAGATGCGCTGCCTGTCTCTCTCTTTCTGCCTCCAAATCTCTGGATTAATGTGCACAAGGCTTTGAGGGGATCTAATTTGGTTTGGAACATTTTGGAGGCAGCCCAGTTTGGCTCGGACATCTCCTGAATTTCTCCAAATCAGCTTGATTCAGATCGGGAATTTGTCTGACTCTGAGGCACACACCTACTCTTTCTCTCTCTCTGTGTATAATTCTTCTTACAGCATTTGATATATCGTGCAGTTGTAATGAGTACTTTTCAGTAACTAACAACTTGTGGAATTTCTCACTTCAAACCCAGCAAAACTGAGAGATTTAAAAAAAAGGGGGGGGGAGCCTTGCCAATGTTAATTAAAAATTGCACATTGAAATCCAAGTATCTCATTTAACATTTTGTACCATTTTATGTAAACTGCTAAAAGATTTTTTTTCTGATTAAGTGGTATATAAAAACTTGCTAAGTAACATAAACACTTTGGTGATAAATAGGAAGGTTCGCAGAATTTCAAATGCTTGTATAAAAGACAAATGATGTAACCAGGTATGTGGAAATTCACCAGCGAGGTGGAACGCCCTTGTCCAGAATGTCTGGTGGCCTGAGACTGTTTGGAAATCATCTGAGCATCTGTGGTGATCGTGCAGCTGTGGCGTTTCATCAGCTCTTCATGCACAACGGAGTTAAAGCCATTTGATTGGCATTTGCAAATAGTACTGCTGAATATGCTTGCCATCCATCTGAAATGTAGCCGGGCATCTGTAGTGCAAGTCAGATGGAAGGGGCTTTTGCTATCTTCATATCCTGAGGTAAAGTGAGAGGAAGGGTAAAGGAAACACCAGCAGATGACAGAGAGCACACTGATTTCAGTACAAGCTGCTCATTGCTCTCTCTTTGGCTTGAAAACATCCCAGTGCTGAGTCTGGACAGCAAAGGGGGGAGGAAAAGGTTAAGGCCAGGACTGAAGACTTCTAGAAAGACGATGAGGTACACTCCTAAGGGAGACAGAAGCAGCAAAGACTATATTCCTGGAAGACACTGACAGGACGGGCAGCTCTTGAGCAGAATCCTGAAGGATTCCCCCCACACACAAGGTCTAGGAATCTTGTGTGCTTAATGAGAAGATCAATTTGGCAAGAGAGATTAAGGTCCCTGGTCACCTGAATAAATAGGACTCTGCCAGGAATTCCAGAAAGAAGAGTTCTATTAGAAGGCCTGCTGGAGTCAAACACAGCTCAAACAGAAGAAGGAACGAGACTGTGAGAGTGGCTGTAAGCAGAAGATCCTTTTGCTTCTCGCCGTGAGGTTTTAAGGGATTGGTCAATGAAGCTGGCTTAAAGTGCTTCCTTATGCAGAAGTTCGGCACGAGATGAAGATGCTTCATGACAGCAGACTCCTAGGTGGCAAGGCTAGCGACTGGCAAGGCTACCGGTACGGCGGTGATTTGACTCTGAATTGCTCACCAGCCACCGTGAAGCACTGATGGATATAGACAGCTGTAGGGATCAGAGTCCCGGGTGGCAGAACTGGCAGGAAGGAGGCACAGCGCTACGGTAAAACAGCCGGACAACAGCTAAACAACAGCACTATCCAGCTCTGCTCACAAGGACCGGTCTCTGGAGGGAAGCGATTCTCATTCTGGCTGTGCAGTTTCAGCATTCCCAACACCCCGACGCAGGTTGGGCAGGTGATGTTTGCTCAGGAGGGTCCACAGATGCTCCACTGGTTAGCAGAGCAGCCCAGAGCCCCCAATGGCTGGCTTCCCACGCCAAATGCAAACATTTCTGGGTGCTGGAAAGGACACCTGCCTTTCTGGACCTCCTGCCCACAACTTTACCCAACTGGAGCCACCCTCTGGCGATGTGGGGTCCGTTCCGTCATCAGGCTCAAGAAATGTTAGAAAGGAGCAGCCGAAGCAGGGACAGTCTTGCTACCAAACGGGAGCAGCTGAGATGATTCTACTCAAACGACAGCAAATCTGGACTGTGACCTTCAGCTTCCAGGGTGGACGCCTCCGCCGTTGCGGGGCCCACGTTGCTCTCGAGCTGGCATTCAGGAGGGCTCTTGCCCGCACTCAAACTGAGCTGGAGCGCCACATTTTCCGAGGAGGGAGGTATCCTGTAAGCAGTGTTTAGTTTAGGCTCCAAATTCTCCTTATAGATGAGATCAGGCACCCCACAGGCCCTGCTGTGGCTGGTCCCAACCTCCTCCTGCGTCAACAAACCCATTTCGCTCCGCGCTGCCTCTCTCCTGGAAGGCTGGCATGCGTGTTCCTGGCTTCCCTCGGGAGAAGAAGCCTCGGCGCTACCTACCAATGGCTGGGAGGCAATCAACATATCTTGGGTGGTCTTCAGAGCTCTTGGGGTGCGCTTCTTGGTAATCTCCGGGGGCGGATTGAGCCGCGGAATGGCATCGACGGGAGCCTGCCTACAAGCATAAGGAGAAATGGTTAAGGGAGGCACTCAATGAGAACGGTGCACTACCGAATCCTTTTAAAAGCATGGCTTGAAACCAATCATGGCTCACAGCTCTTCGTGTCGCCAGCTTCTTTCTAAGAAACAAGATGGCAAGAGCTAACGGCTTCCGTTTCAACCAAAACTAGAATGTGCAGAAGACAGCAAAGGGCAGCCAGCACTTCGCCTACCAGGGCAGCATAGCTTAAAAAGTGGCACAACTTCTTCCAGCTCTTCGAAGGAATACACCTCCTAAGAGCGCAGGTCCTGAGTTTTCTTCCACCCCAGGGCTGATCTGGTGGAGAGTCCCGTCCCATTTCTGCCTAACTATTGTGGTGCACTGCTTTCTTGTGCATAAGTAAATCAAATGTAAAAGGTAAAGGTAAAGGGACCCCTGAGCATTAGGTCCAGTCGCGGACGACTCTGGGGTTGTGGCGCTCATCTCGCTTTACTGGCTGAGGGAGCTGGCTTACAGCTTCTGGGTCATGTGGCCAGCATGACTAAGCCGCTTCTGGCGAACCAGAGCAGCGCACGGAAACACCGTTTACCTTTCCGCCGGAGCGGTACCTATTTATCTACTTGCACTTTGACGTGCTTTTGAACTGCTATTTTGGCAGGAGCTGGGACAGAGCAACGGGAGCTCACCCTGTCACGGGGATTCGAACCGCTGACCTTCTGATCGGCAAGCCCTAGGCTCTGTGGTTTAATCCACAGTGCCACCAGCGTCCCTAAATCAAGTGTAGCCATGGGCAAAATGGCCTAGTACCACTTTTCATGACCTTCTGTTAGCTGGATGTCCTGGGACTTAAACCTCTGAAAGGTGTGAGCCCCTGGGGGTTGTGAGCTTTGGAAGTTCAGATGTTGTCACGATTCCATCTCCAGCCCCAGCGCAGCACAGCAAAAAGGTTAAGGTACCCCTGGACCAGGCATAGGCCAACTCGGCCCTCCAGATGTTTTGGGACTACAATCCCATCATCCCTGACCACTGGTCCTGTTAGCTAGGGATAATAGGAGCTGTAGTCCCAAAACATCTGGAGGGCCGAGTTGGCCTATGCCTGCCCTGGACAGTTAAGTCCAGTCAAAGGCGACTATGGGGTTGCAGCGCTCATCTCGCTTTCAGGCGGAGGTAGCCAGTGTTTGTTCACTGGCAGCTTTCCGGGTCGTGTGGCCAGCAGGAGTAAACCGCTTCTGGCGCAACAGGACACCGTGACGGAAACCAGAGCGCACGGAAACGCCGTTTACCTTCCCGCCACAGCAGTACTTATTTATCTACTTGCACTGGTGTGCTTTCGAACTGCTAGGTTGGCAGAAGCTGGGACAGAGCAATGGGAGTTCACACAGTTGTGGGGATTCAAACTGCCAACCTTCCGATCGGCAAGCCCAAGAGGCTCAGTGGTTTAGACCACAGCGCCACCCGCGTCCTCTGGCAGTGGGGGAGGGGGGCCTCAGGTAAAGTCCCAAATTCCTATATCCATGACCTGCGGAAGCCGCAAACAGTAGTGACCTCTAATGGCTATGGAACTCTACGTGGGGCTACCTTTGAAGGTGACCCAGAAACTACAACTCATCCAGAATGTGGCAGCTAGACTGGTGACTGGGGGCGGCCACCGAGACCACATAACACCGGTCTTGAAAGACCTACATTGGCTCCCAGTACGTTTCCGAGCACAATTCAAAGTGTTGGTGCTGACCTTTAAAGCTCTAAACAGCCTCGGCCCAGTATATCTGCAGGAGCGTCTCCACCCCCATCGTTCTGCCCAGACACTGAGGTCCAGCTCCGAGGACCTTCTGGCGGTTCCCTCATTGCGAGAAGCAAAGCTACAGGGAACCAGGCAGAGGGCCTTCTCGGTAGTGGCACCCGCCCCGTGGAACGCCCTCCCACCAGATGTCAAAGAGATAAACAACTACCTGACATTCAGAAGACATCTGAAGGCAGCCCTGTTCAGGGAAGTTTTTAATGTGTGACATCTTAGTGTATTTTTGGTCTTTGTGGAAGCCACCCAGAGTGGCTGGGGAAACCCAGCCAGATGGGTGGGGTACAAATAAAAAAATATTATTATTATTATTATTATTATTATTAAGCCCACTTACCATTCCTCCTGGTCCTGACCTTGCCCACAGGAGAGGGCGGCCCCAGCACGCTCATTCACTTCGGTCACCCCAAAGCTGCTGTGGTTGCTGGTCTCTTTCCTGCGTAGCAAGTCGTTGACTTTCGCACCCACCGTCTTGCTCAGGTTCTTCAAGTGCTGGCTGCCCCCCACCCACTCAGGGTGGCCCCGAGGGCTCACACGGGGGGAGGATCTGGGGTGAAGGGAGACCGATTTGGCAGCCGGCAGCTTCGTTGCAGCGGTAGTGTTTGAATTCTCAAACGTATTTTGGTCAACTAGAAAAGAAACAAAATGGCACCCGTGTGAGTGGGACAGTTGCTAGGAAAAGCCCTCTTCACCCAACCTAGCCTGACCAATTGTTTTTCATGTGCATTTGTTATCTATTTAATGAATAAATTTATTCCCACAGAACACAAGGCGATTTAACCATCTATGTGCATCAATAACCAAAGCATATTTTAAAACAGCTTCACGTCCAATATAAACACAAGCTGGGATGAAAATCTTCTGTTGAGAGGCTTGTTGGAAAAGTGAGTTCTTCAAATCATTCTCCTTCCCAGCCTGAGAGGAAAAAATGGCGAAAGCAGGTTATTTATTGGGACAGGGTGATTTTTGCAGCCGCTGTTAAAGTTGCAAAGCAATGAAGTACAGGATGGAGCAATGGAGAATTTCTGAAACAACAGTGGGATATTAGCTCCGCCCAAGGCATGATGGAGAACAGCAACAACCGGGAAAAGGTAGACATAATATTTTACAAGGACTGGAAGAAACACCACAGACAGAATAATTGCCACACACAGGAAGCACATGGATATAATTTGACTGCCTTACTTGTAGTTTTTATAAACCACTTAATGTGTCAATATGAATGGATGCTGTTAACATCATAGTTATTTTATAATGGATTATTTTGACCGGAGTGTAATTGAAATTAATAAGATTTTGGAACGCAGAAATAAATTAAATCATCAAACCATCATATCTAGCATGTGGGGGCTACCTAAATGATATAATTTGGTACCTGAATGATTGGTATTAGTAATTGTGTTATAATTTGGCATTGTTATGATGAGGCTATCATTGGATTGTAATTGAAAACGAATAAAAATTATTTTTAAAAAGGGTTAGGGTTAGGGTTTCAGATCTGCTTCAAGCTCTCATCTTTTAAGTGTCTCTTCTCTAATTCTCCACTCTTTTCCTCTCTCCTTCCACATTCTGACTTAAATCTACTTGCCAAGCCAAACATTTTTACCTCAGTTTTTGCCTCCTTCCCCTTCTCCCTGGTTATACCATATTGTTTTTGTAATACTCTTCTCATCCGCGATTAAGCCACTTCAATCACTTCATTAAAAAAATTATCGCAAGGCATCTCTTTATTTGAGATTTTCCTGGCAAATCCTCCTCTGCTTTTGTTTCCTGAGCCTGAGCTCAGAGCCTGTGTCTCATTTTAATCCACCGATTGCTGCCTTTCTCGTTAGAGGCGGTAAATTAGGACGATGGGGCTGAGATACTTCACGAAGGACACAGAACCACTTCCGTTTGCATCTGTGTAGCCTGTCCTACGCATCTCTCCCCTCGAGGAGGATTCAGCACGAGACCCACATAGAAAGGCTTCCCCCACAACTTGCCCTTGCCAGCCGGCAGCCTCTACAAAGTCAGGCCCTGGTGCCAGCAGTCGCTGTTTGTTAGGTCAGGAGATGATGTCACAAGGCCAGCTGGCTACCTGGTCCTTTGCCCGGAGAAAGCTTTGCACCACAAATGGGCCCTTTTAGTTAAGGAGTGTCTGAGAGGACATGGAAAATTTTTCCCTCTTGACAATCTCTGGGCCACGTCTCCCCAGCTTTGCCCTAAAGAGTTTACCTGACTTAACACGCCCTGTGCACAAAAGCAGCTTGCCAGGTGAGCTGGGGAGGAGGGGGGAGTGCCGGGAAAAAGTACCCCCGGAACAGTTTGAACAGAAGCAAATGTTTTCTGAATGAAATGTGAAATGGGGTAGAAGGATGAGGAGGAACCTAGCCTGTGGTAGTATAGGAATGCATGGGACGCGGGTGGCGCTGTGGTCTAAACCACTGAACCTCTTGGGCTTGCCGATCAGAAGGTTGGCAGTTCGAATCCCCGCAGCGGAGTGAGCTCCCGGTGTTCTGTCCCAACTCCTACCAACTTAGCAGTTCGAAAGCACACCAGTGCAAGTAGATAAATCGGTACCGCTGTGGCGGGAAGGTAAACGGTGTTTCCGTGCGCTCTGGTTTCCGTCACGGTGTCCCGTTGTGCCAGATGCAGTTTAGTCCTGCTGGCCACACGACCCGGAAAGCTGCCAGTGGACAAACGCCGGCTCCCTTGGCCTGAAAGCGAGATGAGCGCCGCAACCCCATAGTCGTCTTTTGCTGGACTTAACCATCCAGGGGTCCTTTACCTAGGGGCGGAGGAAGAGGGTGCGGTGGGGGCGGGTCACCCCAGGTGTCACCACCGAGGGGGTGACAAAATGCCAGGTGGCACTCACCACGGGGCCTGCAGTGCACCCACAGGCTCCGTGCTGCCCCAATCAGCCCACCCGCCACCTCACCCTCAGCTGTAGGGCGGCTGAGTGGGAGGAGTCAGGCAGACTCCTCGTAGGCCTTGCGGAGCGTCTGGCCCCAGCTGGCCCCACCCCACGGGTGGGTGGCCCTGCTCCTGGGCACAGGCCACACATGCCGCCCCAGGCGCCTGATCGGCTTGCTCCACTATTGCCTTTACCTGTTAGCTTACCACACCAACCATCACAAGGTGCTGGCCAGGTCTGAGAAAGGCTGTGATGGCCTGGGAATCCGATTCAGAGAGTGAACCGGAGGAATCCCAGCCTGCACAGGAGTCCCCGCCTCCAGGGCCGGCTGAACTGGGGCAGGGCCTTGATTCTGAGGAGCCTGCACCTGTGCCGGATCCTCAGGAGCAGGCACCAGGTGAATCCATTCTGGCTCCAGAGGTGGTTGAGTGCCTACAGGTGAGTCTCCCCCTGGGCCCAGTAACCCTTCAGCCTCTCCTGAACTGCAGAGGCTTAGGGCAGAGAGGCGAAGGGAACTGGTTTCTCCCAGGAGGAGTGCTCGCCTTAAGGCCAGGAGAGGCGGGTCTCCTGGGGGCCGGGACCGCCCCTGGCCTTAGAGAAGATAAAGGCCAGTCAGCCCGGTCCCGGGTTGCGGGAGCAACGTCGTTGTTGAGTACCTGTTCCTGCCCAGACCCAGACCTGACCCTCCAGTGTTCCTGTCCCCGCCCGGCTTCCTGCTTCGGACCTTGCCCCGCTCCTTGTGAACTGTTTCCAGGCTAGTGACCCAGGACCGGACTTTGACTACGCCAACGGTAACCTTCCCCCCGGGACCAGCACAAAGGCACAAGGCTCACTCCCGCTTTTCTTTTGCCAGACTGCCTCCTCGCGGAACTCCAGAGCGGGGAGCCTCCGCAGCAGAACTGCACCATCTACCGCCCCTGGTATTCCCCCTACAGCTACTTTGTGTGCATGGACCAAGACAGCCAAACCGACTCCTGTGGTTTCCCAGGGACACTGGGAGGCAACAGCCTAGAAGCCCCAGCCGACACTGGGCCTGCCGGAGACATGGACATTGGCTCCTCTTCGTCCGGCTCCCTGGAGAAAACATATCCCCAAGAGAATAGCGGCGGCGGCAGCAGCAGGAAGACCACGGACTGCATCACTTCCCAGGACATCCTCTTGGCTTCCAAGTGGCGGCCCCCGCATGGGTGCCAATGTGTGGCCTGCTGCCGAATGTTCCCGACTTTGCACTCGCTCAAGGCCCACATCAAACGTGGAGCCCGGGAGGGCTTCAGCTGCCAGGTCTATTACCACAAGCTCAAAGCCCTGTGGGGGAAGGAGCGCAAATGGCGCCCCAGAAATCACCCAGTGGGCAGCCACAAAATGCTCAAATAGCAATGTCCATCTGCGAGAGGCGCCACAGCCACCGGGCGCCCATCCTCTCCCCCACAGCCCCAAAATAAAGCAAGTCATTGATGGCGCTTAGAGCAAGCTCGTTGTTCCACCACAGCCCCGCTCCCTTCCTCGCCTGGGGTCTCTGTTCCCAAAACGGAGAAGCCTCTTTCTCAGACCTCATCCTCCCTGAGCTTGCCCCTCATGGTTATTTCCACAGTTGACGCTGCTCAAACTTTGGTGCCACAATAAGTAACCAAACAAACCCCTGTGTTGCAAAGAGAACGTCAGCAATGTCTAGGCAACACGATGACCGTGTACATATGCAATAGACAATCTTTATAGAATTCCTTCAAACCATAACAAGTACAAAATGAAATCTTTAGTCTCAAAGTCTCTGAAAATCTTTAAAGGAAGCGAGGCACCAGACTTTGTACGACGAAAGACAAGCTGTGAAGCTTTGTGTATTCAGCGAATATGATGCCCAACACTGGACAGTAATATTGACTACTGTTTTGTAGAATTCTTCGTCAGCGTGGTGGGAGGATATAGAATTGCTTCATAAATCCATCTTATTTGGAATGAAAGTATGTAAATGAAAGGGACGTGGGTGGTGCTGTGGGTTAAACCACAGAGCCTAGGACTTGCCGATCAGAAGGTCGGCGGTTCGAATCCCCACGACAGGGTGAGCTCCCGTTGCTCGGTCCCTGATCCTGCCAACCTAGCAGTTCGAAAGCACATCAAAGTGCAAGTAGATAAATAGGTACTGCTCTGGTGGAAAGGTAAACAGTGTTTCCTTGCCAGAAGCAGCTTAGTCATGCTGGCCACATGACCCGGAAACTGTACGCCGGCTCCCTCGGCCAATAAAGCAAGATGAGCGCTGCAACCCCAGAGTCGGCCACGACTGGACCTAATGGTCAGGGGTCCCTTTACCTTTTTATGTAAATGAAAATATCAAATGCTGTGGAACAGTGCTCATGTAATAATGTAGAACGCAATTCTACATCCTCCCACCACGCTGACAAAGAATTCTACCAAACAGTAATCAATATCCGGAATCACTGTCCAGTGTTGGACATCATATTTGCTAAATACAAAAAGCTTCACAGCTTGTCTTTCATCATACAAAGCCTGGTACCTCGCTTCATTTAAAGATTTTCAGAGACTTTGAGATGAAATATTTCATTTTGTACTTGTTATGGTTTGAAGGAATTCAATAAATATTGTCTACTGCGTCTGTACGTGGTCATCGTGTTGCCTAGACATTGCTAACAAACTCTGGTGTTGGCTGAGGCCTGTCTGCAACTCGGCTCGCCCTGCCCCGAAGCATCACCGCCGCTCGGTCGGTGGCTGTTTACTAAGGCCCCCGTGTTTCTCTGGCACGGTCACCAAGGCACACGAGGCTGGCAAGAACCATGCCAGGAGCCTCTTCCTGGCACCTTCAGGGCGCCTGGCTGCCATGGAAGGGCAGTCGCTCCAGCTGGAGACACACCAAGGCAGCAGATTCATCCTACAGGCCACAGAGGCATCAAAGGCATGTCTGCACATGAGACGGGGGAGGACTGACTGCAGCTCTTCTGTGCTGATTCAGGGGGCTTTGGCCTTTAACTGGCCCTTCGCCTGCCCTCATTGTGGGACTAGAGTAGGCCTGGCCCTGCAGGGCAGGAGAGGCTGCAGTCCTGCCAGTTAGACGCTACACTACACATGCATGCTTCATTCCATACCTTCCTCAACCCCAGCCCTGTACCATCAATAACTCTGGAAGAGGCTTGGAGCAGACGCCACAGCAGAATGAGCAGGAAGGTGCATTTGTGGCAAGTGTTTAAGGCTGGCTATCAGAGAGGTGCCCTCATCTCCGGCTTCCAAAACACGTTTTAGAATCAGGCAGGAGAAGTGGGAAGATAGCAGAAAAATAAACTGGGTCAGCTGCATAATTTGTTATGGACCTGGCTGGTACCCTAGATCAGTGTTCCCCAACCTTGGGCCTCCAGCTGTTTTTGGACTACAACTCCCATCATCCCTCGCTAGCAAGACCAGTGGTCAAGGATGATGGGAATTGTAGTCCAAAAACAGCTGGAGACCCAAGGTTGGGGAACACTGCCCTAGATGACAGGCACAGAGTACTTTATTTAAAACACGGGTGGCCAACTCCCATGAGTGCGATCTACTCACAGAGTTAAAAACTGGCAGTGATCTACTCCCCTTTTTGGGGGTTCAGGTCAAAGTTGCTGAGCTTTTTTAAGGAAGAAAAGTTGGTTTTTGGGGAAGGAAGAGGAGGAGAGCCCGTTTTTAAGGGTGCAGGGCACAAAAGTTGAGTTTTTTTAGGGGAGCCAAAGTTGTTCAGCTTCTTTGGGGGGAGCCAGTGATCGGCCAGTGATCTACCTCAGACGTTCAGTGATCTATCGGTAGATCTACCTGTTGGACATGCCTGATTTAGAACATGTCTGGTGTAAAAGGATTGCATGGCAATGGGAAGGAGGACAGACACTTAGTGAGAAACAATGCAGGGGCATCTGGTCTTTCACTGTAATAAATTATCTATCTAATTATCTAATGCAGGGGCACAGAAAGTGGAGAAATCATATGCTGGGCAGGCATTACCCAAGGAGAAGTCAGTGGCTGTGGAGGGTTTGGAAGAAAATTCTGGGTTGCTGGATATAGGATGGAACCTCCAAAGTATCATTTTGGGAACGTTCCCTGGATTGGGCCAGCATTAATTATCCTTAAAAGGTTAAGAAAGAAGACAGACAGCAGTTATAAATTGATAAAATTCCACAATAGAAGAAGGATCTGTCCTGAGAGTGATGCTATTTGATTTATTCTTAAATGACCTAGAAATGAGGTGAGCTGCAAGGTGGCCAGGTTTGAAGAGGACACTGAGTTATTTACTAAAATAGTGAAAATCCAAACAGATGGTCCTTTCAGAGCTGCTACAAACATGGTGTACGGAAAACAAAATGAAAATTGAGATCCAGTGGGCAGGCCCCAGACATTGAGGCTTCACTCCCTAACTTCAAATGTAAGCTTTGCAAATGACTAGGAAAAAGTCATGGAGTTTGGATTTGATATCCCGCTTTATCACTACCCGAAGGAGTCTCAAAGCGGCTAACATTCTCCTTTCCCTTCCTCCCCCATAACAAACACTCTGTGAGGTGAGTGGGGCTGAGAGACTTCAGAGAAGTGTGACTGGCCCAAGGTCACCCAGCAGCTGCATGTGGAGGAGCGGGGAAGCGAACCCGGTTCACCAGATTACGAGTCCACCGCTCTTAACCACTATACCACTCTGGCTCATGGAGGAATGCTCAATGAGACTGTTGGCTCTGTATACTGAGGTGGTAAAATGGGGGTGGTGGGAGGTCTATAAAACAGGGGTAGCCAATCTGGTGCCTCCCTCCACATTCTTGAGCCCCCAACTCCCATCTGCCCCAGCCAGCCCGCTCCTAGAGAGGAAAGGTACGGGGTCACTTCCAGTTCAGTCCTGGTCCTGTCCTGGTTGCAGCATCTCCAAAGGGTTTAGGTGTTTCGGAAAGAAGTGTTGCAATTATCAGGGGACAGGAGCAGTTTACCTATGGAGAAATATTAAAGGGGCACAGGGACCATTTAGTGTAGGGGGAAAACGCCCTGCTATCACCCTCACATTTGGCAGGTGGGGGGGGGATGGATTCTGTGCCTATACCCTGAGGTAGGGGCAGAGTTCCTCCACACAAGGGGGAACATGGCCCAGCCAGACCTGTCCCCCCTGCCCCCGGTGCGAAGGAGCAATGCCTGCGTAGAGTCTGGCTTAGGCCCAGGTTGTGTGAAGGACTCTAATCCCCCATTTGAACCTTCCTGGGCTATGAGATCTTTGGGGAAGGCTCTTCTGTCTGTCCCTAGACCTTTGCAGGTGGGGCTGCGGGAGAGGAGGGTCTTCTCGGTGGTGCCAGCTTTGGAACTCCCTACCTAGAGAAGCCAAACTGGCTCCCTCCTCGTTGTCCTTCCATCAGCAGACAAAGACCATGTTGCTCCGGCAGCTGGGCTAAGTAGGGTGGCCTGACCCTCTCATGCCGTCATTTAAAAGGCTGTTTTGGTTCCTTTTTCCTCCCAGTGTCTCTTTTCCTTTGCTATTCCTCAGAGCCGGTTTTTCACCGGTCAGCCAGGGCCTCCAAGGCACATTTTGGCTACTTACGGTAGCCCTCCGAGTATGGCCTTTTCACAGGGTTTCCCCACCTAGGAGTGCACAGTCGTAGAGGCGGGAGTGCATTTTGCTAAGGAAAGAAGAACAATTAGGACAGCTCCCAGACCATTTGGTGAGGATGTTTGGAACAGCCCAAGAACCATAATTCCGGATGGCACACCCCATTAACATTACTGCACGCCTCAAGGCACACTCTCGTCCGGGACAGCTGCCCGAAGGCTCATCCAGACTTCCTTTTGCACCGCATTTCTAGGTACAGGCCTGCACTGTGTCCGAGCCCCCTCACCCACTTTTCAGCCACTTGCCTTGCAAAAAGCTGCTCTTTACTGCTAAATTGGAGCAAACAGCAATCTGGGGAAACCCCAAATTTCCGTTTGTTCCAATTCAGCATTAAAAAGCGTGCTTTTGCAGTGGGTGGGGGAGCGGGAGTGCTCAGGCTTGGACCTGGAAAGCACAGACCTAGCTCTACCTCTCCTTTAAATCAGAACCAGTGAATGCGGTGAAGGTACTGTGTGAGTGCCTGGAGGCGGTTGGAGGATGGATGGCGGCTAACAGATTGAGGTTGAGATTGAGACAGAAGTACTGTTTTTGGGGGACGGGGGCGGGCGGGTGTGGGGGACTCCCTGGTCCTGAATGGGGTAACTGTGCCCCTGAAGGACCAGGTGCGCAGCCTGGGAGTCATTTTGGACTCACAGCTGTCCATGGAGGCACAGGTCAATTCTGTATTCAGGGCAGCTGTCTACCAGCTCCACCTGGTATGCAGGCTAAGACCCTACCTGCCCACAGACTGCCTCGCCAGAGTGGTGCATGCTCTAGTTATCTCCCGCTTGGACTACTGCAATGCACTCTATGTGGGGCTACCTTTGAAGGTAACCCGGAAACTGCAATTAATCCAGAATGTGGCAGCTAGACTAGTGATTGGGAGTGGCCGCTGGGACCACATAACACCGGTCCTGAGAGGTCTGCATTGGCTCCCAGTACGTTTCTGAGCACAATTCAAAGTGTTGGTGCTGACTTTTAAAGCCCTAATCGGCCTGGGTCCAGTATACCTGAAGGAGGGTCTCCACCCCCATTGTTCAGCCCGGACACGGAGATCCAGCGCCGAGGGCCTTCTGGCGGTTCCCTCATTGCGAGAAGTGAGGTTACAGGGAACCAGGCAGAGGGCCTTCTCGGTAGTGGCGCCCACCCTGTGGAACACCCTCCCTTCAGATGTGAAGGAAATAAGCAGCTATCCTATCTTTAAAGGACATCTGAAGCAGCCCTGTTCAGGGAAGTTTTTAATATTTAATGCTGTACTGTTTTTAACATTTGATTGGGAGCCGCCCAGAGTGGCTGGGGAGACTCAGCCAGATGGGTGGGGTAATAATAATAATAATAATAATAATAATAATAATAATAATGACCTGCTTCTAGAAAATGTGGGACGGAAAGCCCTGACTCACTAGTGGAAAGTTTTATGGTTCTTTTTCCTTGGCTGATGATGCAGCATGAGACTTGGGAGTGCCAGTAGGTTTAGACTGCTAAGATGCCACCAGGGGTGATGTTTTCCACCCTAACCTTCTGCCCCATAAGGTCTGGCCATCTGGCAGCACTGGTGCAATGGCTGTCTGTCACAGCTGTTCTCTGCAAACCGCTGCTCTATTGGGGGAGAGGTGGAATATAGGACTTGGTCTCTTCAAACAGTCTTTGGCTGTGCACAACCTGCCTTGGGACGCAGGTGGCGCTGTGGGTTAAACCACAGAGCCTAGGACTTGCTGATCAGAAGGTCGGCAGTTCGAATCCCCGTGACGGGGTGAGCTCCCGTTGCTCAGTCCCTGCTCCTGCCAACCTAGCAGTTCAAAAGCACGTCAGAGTGCAAGTAGATAAATAGGTACCCCTTTGGCGGGAAGGTAAACGGCGTTTCCGTGCGCTGCTCTGGTTTGCCAGAAGCGGCTTAGTCATGCTGGCCACATGACCTGGAAGCTGTACGCCGGCTCCCTCGGCCAATAAAGCGAAATGAGCGCCACAACCCCAGAGTTGGTTACAACTGGACCTAGTGGTCAGGGGTCCCTTTACCTTTAACCTGCCTTGGGACCTGCCAGTGTTAGCCACAGATTTTCACATGACCTTTTCTCTTTTCCAGACTCAGGGTGTTAAATTTGGGTCCCTGTTCTCTAACTGAAGGTTGCTGTGCTACTCCTTGTAAGGAACCCTGAACAAACCTGCCATCTTTCTTATAACACTCGAGGTGATTGAGAAGAAAGGAGGGAAGTGTGAAAAGATACAAGGAAAGCAAAGGAAGCAGAGACGACAGTTCAGCTTTAGAAACAAGGAAGATTTATTTAGCAATAGCCAAGAAGCTCTAACACCACCGGCCGGGGCTTAAGTGCACTTACAGAGAAAGAAATTCCATAACATCCACTGCTTTTTGCAAAAGGAGAGAACGAAAGGAAAAATGCAGAGGAAACGTCCAAGAGGCTTTATGAAGGAACCATCTGTGGAATGCCAGGAGATGGAGAAAGGCCTGTGAGAGTCCCTCTAAGCCAGGGGTCAGCAAACTTTTTCAGCAGGGGGCCGGTCCACTGCCCCTCAGACCTTGTGTTGGGCTGGACTATATTTTGGAGGGGGGGGGGAATTGAACAAATTCCCACAAATAACCCAGTGATGCATTTTAAATAAAAGCACTCATTCTACTCATGTAAAACACCAGGCAGGCCTCCACAAATAACCGAGAGGTGCATTTTAAATACAGTGGTACCTCAGGTGGGTACCTCGGGTTAAGTACTTTAATTCGTTCCGGAGGTCTGTTCTTAACCAGAAACTGTTCTTAACCTGAAGCACCAGTTTAGCTAATGGGGCCTCCTGCTGCGCCACTGCGAGCACGATTTCTGTTCTCATCCTGAAGCGAAGTTCTTAACCCGAGGGTACTATTTCTGGGTTAGCGGAGTCCTGTAACCTGAAGCGTAATGTAACGCGAGGTACCACTGTAAAAGGACACATTCTACTCATGTAAAAACACACTGATTCCCGGCCTTAGTTCGCCTACCCACCCATGCTCTAAGCAGTCTGTGCTGCTGTGAGAGATCTGTCCCATGAACTGCGATCAGGTGCCTTCCTTTTCAAATTGTATTTTCTTGCCTGAGGCATCTGCCAGTGTTGCTGGGCATGCTGGCACCTCTGACCTGGCTGCTCCATGGCAGGCGCTTTCCTGCCCTTACAACTGACACACACTCATTCCATCTCGAAAAGCATTCATTTGCTCACCCCCTCCCCACTTTCATGCCCCCCTCCCGTCTTCAGCAAAGTCTTGGGTTATCAGGGCCTGACCTAGGTTGAGAGCAGCAGCCCAGCCGCTTCATTGCTCTTGCCATAACACAGAAGTATCTCGGATGCTCCCTTCCTCTTCCTGAACAAGACCAGCAGGACTACGCCCTCCCTCTCAATTCACCCCGAAGGCACTTTCTCCCTGAACTGCTTCCCTGAAAGCCCAAGCTGCTGGGCAAACAATGGGCCTGACTTCCTCAGGGGAGATAATTTGGCTTCAAACTCGCCAGGTTAAGAAGAGAAGAAGAGTTTGGATTTGATATCCTGCTTTATCACTACCCTACGGAGTCTCAAAGCGGCTAACAATCTCCTTTTCCCTTCCTCCCCCACAACAAACACTCTGTGAGGTGAGTGGGGCTGAGAGACTTCAGAGAAGTGTGACTAGCCCAAGGTCACCCAGCAGCTGCATGTGGAGTAGCGGGGAAGCGAACCCGGTTCACCAGATTACGAGTCCACCGCTCTTAACCATTACACCACACTGGGTCTTAAGCGGCAGACATAAACTAGCTGCAGATGTAACAACCCTGGTCAGATAAACCGTGGCTTCTCAACCTAAGAGAGCCATGTGCCGCTTCCCTCTTGCAGGAAAGTTCACTTGCTTTCCTAAGCCACGGTTTCCTGTGAGATCCAGACCAGGAAACAGTAGCTTGAGGGCTCCCTCCCTCCACAGGATATGCCACAGGAAACCAAGAAAGCTTTGCTGAAGCTGCACAAGAGAGGGAAAGGGACGCAGCTTGTTCAATGGCTTATCACATTTGCATTGCTTTCTCTGAAGCAGGGGTGGAAGGAAAGGGTGGAGAGCAGCCGCAAAAGAAAGATCTTGTCTTGAAGACGCAGGTGGAATCCTGTGGATGTTAAGTGAAAACTGCATTTCTCAAATCTATCTTCAGTAGTTTTGCATAAAAATCACCCATGGAATTTTTATTATTATTAAAAAATCCAATTTGCTTAAATAAGAACTGCACAGCAGTTAAATGCAACATGCCTCCCTGTGCAGTTGTATTTCCCCCTCTCCCTGTTCATCATTGCAGTTCCTTCAATATTAATTGTAAATCTTCCTTTGGTGCCCCAACAGGGAAGGCCGGAAGCGATCGTTCCTCACAAACCTGGGCAACAGCCTGCAAATTAAATAATGGCAAAGTCTGCAGCAGCAGCAGGAAAACAGAACAAAATTCAAGCTATGGAAACACCTAAGGAAAGGTCAAACTGAGCAAAAGCCCAACAGCCCCATAATGTTTCTGAGCACATGATGCTTCTTCAGGGCAGTATTAAGAGGGCAGCAGGGATCTTCTCTGCACCACCTTTGCTGCAGCTTCTGGTCAGGGCAAGAGCTGGAAGGAAGGGGAGCACTGACGCTTCTTCTAGCTGCCTGTTATAATATGGGCCAGTCCTCAGAGAGTGAAATGCTGTCTTGCACGACTGAGTTCTAGTTCGGTTTATGCTGCGCAGGGACCCTTAAGAAACCGCCCTGTTGTTTTACTCAACAGCTCCCTGAAAGTGAGAAGTCCATTTTGCAGGGATGCGGGTGGTGCTGTGGGTTAAGCCACAGAGCCTAGGACTTGCCAATCAGAAGGTCAGCGGTTCAAATCCCCATGACGGGGTGAGCTCCCGTTGCTCAGTCCCAGCTCCTGCCAACCTAGCAGTTCGAAAGCACGTCAAAGTGCAAGTAGATAAATAGGTACCGCTCTGGCGGGAAGGTAAATGGCGTTTCCGTGTGCTACTCTGGTTTGCCAGAAGCGGCTTAGTCATGCTGGCCACATGACCCGGAAGCTGTACGCCGGCTCCCTCGCCCAATAAAGCGAGATGAGCGCCGCAACCCCAGAGTCGGCCACGACTGGACCTAATGGTGAGGGGTCCCTTTACCTTTACCTATTCTGAACACAGAAGCTCCTTTAGGATTCTTTTGTGTCTTAAGTTAAAACTAAAAAGTCTGGACCTCTCGCTTGCAGTATGCCGCTCGCCCTATCCCTCAGAAAGCCACAAAAGAGAAAGCAGGGCAGGAAAGGCCATGTCTCACGTGGGGAAAACAACCTGGCCAATGGAAGGCCAGGGCTGAGATGCTGCTTCCCAAAGGACAATCGCAACATGGAGCCAATGGAACGCTTAACTACCGATGACTCCAAGCATTGCCTGAGTGCATCTCAGAGAACAAATACAGCAAAGTGTATATAACGCTTGCCTCCATACAAAACACGCATTGTAACCCCCCAAAAGTTCTTCCCTGGCTCAGATTCAAATCCAAGCTAGAGAGGAACATACATACTCTTTGCTCTGCCTCTCACCCATCTATTCCACACACTTGCTTAGAAAGAACTGAGCCGTTTTCTGAGTTTAGACAAAGAAATTCTAACTTTTCTCGTGCCCAGTTCCAAGCGCAACTGTAGCTCTGACTCGTCTAGGAGATTTTTGGGACGAACGCCGAGGCAGCCTGAGCTTTCAGACACACAGGCCTCTTTTGTGGAGTTGCTTCCATAAGGAACCCGCTCCTATGTTCCTGCAGTTATACGTTCGGGGGACTAAAGTGCCAGAGTTACGAGAAAAGAGTACGACTTGAGCTTCTGGAACTGAGGCTGCCGTGTCAAGAATTTCAACGGTATTCAAAAACTGTAGGAGAAGTTATCAGGCCCACAGTTCTAATACCAATTCCAACCAAGGTTCGATCATTTATCCACAGGCAACCCCTGTTATAATTGAACTGTTTCTTTCAGAGGTTTGCAGAAACGTAAGGCTATTGGTCCTGTCTGGAAGCTGACTAGGGATTATCCTAAGTATGGGAGGCAGCAAGGGAGGAGGACGGGAAGTCCCCCTGCAGGGCTTTTGCGGATACAACTCAGTAGCCGAATCTAACCCACTAGGTACACAAAAGTCCCCTCTGAATTCTGCCACCTGCATTCATGATGCAAAAGAGGCCAACTTGCAGGTCCTTGCTAGATTTGCATAATTTATCCAGTGTCTAATAGGTCTTTGGGTGGGTGGGGGGAGTGTTATGAAGAGACACCTGGACACTGGTAACCTTGCACACTCTCACTGCTGGCTTTTAAAGGTTTCACCAGGAACTGCTGGCACACTTTCACGACCACCTTTTCAGCTTTTCTAAAAGAAAGATGAGGGTCCTCAAGATGCTGTCATTTGCACCCAGTATCCCTTTTTGGTGGTGCAATCTGGCATTAATATATATATATATAAATACATGAAAACAATTCCTGAGACCTTTGGGCGCCCCGGAAAGCGGCTCTTGCCTTCAGGAGGAAAACCGCCACCCTACCCCTGACTTTCAGGTACCAAGACACAGAAAAACAGAGAAGCAGGCTTTCCCCGGCCTGTTTGCAAGGAGGCCTGAGTCCCCCACTCTCTCTCCTCCCCTGTCGCTTGCCACGGGCCTGAGATCTCTGCCTCCTCTTAAATGGCAACCTCTTCATCCAAGCTATCTCCCAGACCATGCTTGTCAAGGACGCTGAACAGGCGGAGCGAGTCCTCCTGGCCCCACGAGTCCCACTCCTCACTGTCGTCCGCGTTGGACTCGAACTCGGAGCCGATCCCCGACTCACGGAACTTGAGGAGCTCCAAGCTGCCCAAGGGAGGGCCGTCGCCAGGGAGGAAACAGAAACATTCCAGCTTCGCCAGGCAGTCACTCCTACCTAAGGGGCTGGCCAAAGAGTTGGCGGCGTTGGAGAAGCTGGGGTGGAGCTGGAGGGGGCGAGTGTCTTCGGGCAGAGGGGTGCTGGGGTCACACAGAACGGGGAGCCCGCCGGGGCGGAAGGTGATTTCCAGCAAGCTGTCCCGAGAGCCTCCTGAAAGACAAAGAGAGAAGCAGCAGCGTCAGGCCCTGTATCCAGTCTGCCTGATGGGAGAGAGGGAGGCTCAGGCCGGAGATCCTCTAGGTTGGCAGCAAATGTCATGTAAAAAAAGGTCAAGGGACCCCTGGACGGTTAAGTTCAGTCAAAGGCGACTACGGGGTTGCAGCACTCATCTTGCTTTTCAGGCTGAGGGAGCCGGCGTTTGTCCACAGACAGCTTTCCGGGTCATGTGGCCAGCAGGACTAAACAGCTTCTGTCGCAACGGGACACCGTGACGAAAGCCAGAGCGCACAGAAACACCACTTACCTTCCCGCCGGAGTGGTGCCTATTTATCTACTTGCACTGGCGTGCTTTCGAACTGCTAGGTTGGCAGGAACTGGGACAGAGCAACGGGAACTCACCCCCTTGCGGGGATTTAAACTGCCGACCTTCTGATTGGCAAGCCCAAGAGGCTCAGTGGTTTAGACCACAGTGCCACCCGTGGTCAGCAACTGGCTAAGCAACAGGAAACAGAGAGCAGGGGGGAAATTGAGAGTTCTCCCTACAGAGGGATGTAGAAAGTGGAGTTTCCCCAAGGATCGGGATTGGGACCTGTGTTTCTTGACTTGTTCATTAATGATCTAGAGTTAGGGATGAACACTGGAGCAGCCAAGTGGAGGAGACTCCCCAACACAAGGGAAATTGCATGTAGCTGGGTCCATGGCGTGAGAGCCTGAAACATGGGAGAATCTTGCCCAATGGAGAGAATATGTCCCTCCCATGGCCACCTTCGGGGAGCTGGTGAGAATGTCCCATGAGGCTTGTGAAAGTCAAGTCAGCCGGACAGTCAGTATTTGAGAACACCACCTTTCTTGGTGCTTTACAGACTCCCTCTATTGGTACAGGCTAAACCCACATTTTCATTTTATATGGGCTAGAAAATACATGTTTCTTTAGGTTGGATTTTGGGTGACATCTTCCTGTGGGATTTTGCTTACGCGTTCTGATTTGTTTAGCTTTGATTCCCTTGCAAACTGCTTTTAGCAACCGGGAAAACAATATATAAATATTTTAATGAACAGATCGGGGAAAATCCTTGCCTCATAGTCAGCGGCGGAGCAAGCTGATTGGGCGCCTGGGGTGGCGCGTGTGCCCTGCGCCTAGGGGCCATAGCTGCCAACTTACAGATTTGAAAATAAGGGGCCAGCAGCCAAAATAAGGGATTTTGCTTCGCTTATGCACGTCAGGGCTGCCATCATCCTGGCGCAAGGAGTTCCATCAGCCCTTCCCCGCCCGAGAGAGAGAGAGGGAGGGAGGAAGAGAGACTCTTGCCCGCAAGCCCAGCACGAGCTGGTTGCGGCGCCGCAGTGGCCGCTGAAGCGCCGCCCTTCTGCGTCCCTCCCCATCCCCTCCTCTTCCTCCTCCCTCAGGCCACCTCCTCAGCCACCTCCAGCTTCCCCTGGCAGCGCGGCGGAAGTCTCGCAAGAGAGGGGCTGCCCGCCCGCCCGCCGCCACCCGTCTCCTCACAACGCGCCCCTGAGGGGGAAAAGGGAGAGACGGAGATGCGGCAGCTCATGCGCGTGCTCTCTCGCGGCGGAGGACCCCGAGCCGCTGCTTGCCTGGTGAGTGTGAAACCCGGGAAATTTAAGGGACATCATCAATCCAGGACAGCAGCGGGACACGGCACTGGGATAAGGGAGTCTCCCACCAAATAAGGGACGGTTGACAGCTATGCTGGGGGGGGGCAGCTGCCCGTGGGGCGGGGCAAGCCTGAGCAGGATGCTCCGTGGGGCCTCGAGAAGTCTGCCTGCCTCCTCCTACTCAGTTGCCCTATACCTGAGGGGGAGGCAGCGGGCGGACTGTTTGGGGCAGAGTGGAGCCTGCGGGCGCCCAAGCCATCGCGTCGCTTCCGGGAGAGACAGGTGGCTCCGGCGTGCTGCAGGCCCCACGGTGAGTGCCACCCGGCATTTTGTCACCCCCCTCAGTGGTGACACCCGGGGCGGCCCGCCCCTGCCGCACCCCCTTCCTCCGCCCCTGCTCGCAGCGTCACTGCGATGGTAAGCACAAAGTCGGGAGAGCAACTGTCAGATGAAAATCTTGCAGTTAAGGAGTTAAGGAGAAGCGGGAGAATGAAAAAGGAGGAGGAATATGGAGGAAGAGGAGCTCTTACTGGGGTTGGATCCCAACAGCTTTGCCTCTAGTTCTTGCACCTGCTTCACCAGAAGCGAAATATGGTTCAGGAGGTCCTTATTCTGCAGCAGGAGCTGGTGCACTCGGGCTTGGGCCTCAAGGCGGGCAGCAGCTTCTGTTGCCAGCTGGTCCTTCAACAAGTGCACCTGCAGGAACAGAGATAAAGGAAGACTCAGGTGAGATGCAGAGGCTCAGAGGAAGCGGAGAAGGAAACAAAGGGAAATCTTCTCGGAAGACACTCTGCACCCATGTAGGCACACACTTGCTAGGCCGTCACAAAACTGCTAAAGGTAAAGGTAAAGGGACCCCTGACCATTAGGTCCAGTCGCGGACGACTCTGGGGTTGCAGCACTCATCTCGCTTTACTGGCCGAGGGAGCCGGCGTACAGCTTCCGGGTCATGTGGCCAGCATGACTAAGCCGCTTCTGGCAAACCAGAGCAGCGCACGGAAACGCCGTTTACCTTCCCGCCAGAGCGGTACCTATTTATCTACTTGCACTTTGACGTGCTTTTGAACTGTTAGGTGGGCAGGAGCAGGGACCGAGCAACGGGAGCTCACCCTGTCGCGGAGATTCGAACCGCCGACCTTCTGATCGGCAAGCCCTAGGCTCTGTGGTTTAACCCACAGCGCCACCAGTTTCTAAAGAGTGGGTGGAAAATGCGCCCAGGAAAAGTGGATTTTCACAACATGGCACAGGGAGGAGAAACGTGATGGGCACTGAGCAATGCTAAGAGCCAGAGAGAGGGAGCTTTCAAAGCTGAAATCGAGGCTTGTTGCCTGGACAACAGAGGAAGCTGTGGTCATTGCTGCTGGCTACAGAGAGTAACTGAGCAGAGGAAGGCTTAGGAGAAAAGATCTTGAGTTTGAAATTGTGATGAGACACCCAATTAAGCAGGATAAGCAGTTGGAGGTGCCAGAATGAACTGAGGGAGAATGAGCTGAGGCAAAGAGGGAGAACCATGCGACAGCAGCATTCTGGCGATCATTGAAAGCCAAGATAACTGTCGGAAGCCGTGCTGAGATAGCAGGCAGAATTAAAAATAGCTAGGAATGAGGAACAGACTCCTGAGCAACATTCCGTGGAAACACTGAACGAGCAATAAAAAAAAAATGCAGGAGAGCGAGTGAGAAGAAGAAGAAGAGTTTGCATTTGATATCCCGCTTTATCACTACCCAAAGGAGCCTCCAAAGCGGCTCACATTCCCCTTTCCCTTCCTCCCCCACAACAAACACTCTGTGAGGTGAGTGGGGCTGAGAGACTTCAGAGAAGTGTGACTAGCCCAAGGTCACCCAGCAGCTGCATGCAGAGGAGCAGGGAATCGAACCCGGTTCACCAGATTACGAGTCCACCGCTCTTAACCACTACACCACACAGAGTCACAGGGACCCAATAGGGCATCTCTCTCATGACACCAGCCACTGGCCCTTTAAGGCATCTGGACATTTCTAGGACAGGAGCATTTCATGCACCGGCTCTGCCCCGTGGATCCCTTTGTGCTCTTCCCTCCCGCAGAACAGAGATAACAACCTGGGACACGGCCACTTGCGTCTGCTGCGTCTGCTGCTGCAAGAGCTGCTGCAAAAGCTGCCTTTGGTGGTGAGCAGAGAGAGGGGTCCCTGGCTCAGACAGCTGGGCAGAAGATGGGAGCAGCATCTCAGGGGAAGCCGTCAGGATGTCCTCGTTGTGGAGCAAGCCCTGAAAAAGACAAACAAGCTGCAGGGAATCAACAACAACAATAACAACAATTTATTATTTATACCCTGCCCATCTGGCTGGGTTTCCCCAGCTACTCTGGGCGGCTTCCAACAGAATATTAAAATACAATCATCTACTAAATATTAAAAGCTTCCCTAAACAGGTCTGCCTTCAGGTGTCTTCTAAAAGTCTGGTAGTTGTTGTTCTCTTTGACATCTGGTGGGAGGGCATTACACCGGGCGGGTGCCACTACCGAGAAGGCCCCCTGCCTGGTTCCCTGTAACTTGGCTGCTCGCAGTGAGGGAACCGCCAGAAGGCCTTCGGCACTGAACCTCAGTCCCACTGGGGGAAGACACCACAGAGTTGCTTTGATTTGCCATATCTAAGGCAAGAATGATCAACCCGCCTCCCCAGATTAGATCCACAGAAATGTGGGTCTTCCCCTACCCCCCGAGATGACTCTAAGGCTTGGGAAATTTGCTCTGCAGGCCTCTCTTCTGCTCCTGTGCTGTGGCTGCAGCCTGCTCTTTCGCAGACTCCTGGTTCTACGGAATGGGAGCCAACAGATTTCCGTAGGCTGCAGTCCCGTCCCCCAAGATGAATGTAAAGGTAAAGGTAAAGGGACCTCTGACCATTAGGTCCAGATGTGACCGACTCTGGGGTTGCAGTGCTCATCTCGCTTTACTGGCTGAGGGAGCCGGCGTACAGCTTCCGGGTCATGTGGCCAGCATGACTAAGCCGCTTCTGGCGAACCAGAGCAGCGCACGTAAACGCCGTTTACCTTCCCGCCGGAGCGGTACCTATTTATCTACTTGCACTGGCGTGCTTTCGAACTGCTAGGTTGGCAGGAGCAGGGACCGAGCAACGGGAGCTCACCCCGTCGCGGGGATTTGAACCGCCGACCTTCTGATCGGCAAGACCTAGGCTCTGTTGGTTTAACCAACTCTGTGTGGCTCTGTTGGTTTAATCCCTCAAGATGAATGTACCTTGGTGCAAAGCAGGCCAGGCGGCTCTCCCCCGACAGCATCAAGGTCCGTCACTCCCCTGTTGAACTCCAGGTGGTGCCTCCCCGGCAGCCCAGAGTCCACGGCGTCAATGTCCGTTTCCTCAGCGGCGACAACCGCCTCTGCTTCAGGCAAGGCTAGGAGAAAACATAGGGCACCGTGAGGGCGGGGTGGAGGAGGAGGGAATTATCCCCGGAAACTCGTGGTAGAAAATGGAAGGAAGTCCGCAAGCTTCTCCTCTAAGGGTCAAGGGGGCTGGTGGAGGCTTCTGGTGGCCTGCTTGCCAAGGGGCAGGCAGTGGGTTGTGGGGGGGATGCGTCAGGCGGCAGAAGACCCAACCCCCATGGCAGGACGCCAGGAACGGATAAGGCAAGGGAAAGTTCTTACCAACTGCTTTTTATTCAATATTCACAGAGAGACTTGGGAATGGAGCCGCTTGGAATAATGGTGTTGCCCCGAGTGAGCGTCCACCCCCGGGTGATGCTACGTGCCCTCTGCCTTTGAGCTCTTTGCTCTCCTACTCTCAAGGCTTGCCAGGTTCTGGGAGAGGAATGCTTTCTAAAGACACTGAGTCCATCAACAGTCACCCCTTTGGTACCTCTTCTTCCTCCTCCTCTCCCATTATTTCCCAGCTTTCCCCCTCATCTCCCCCTGACCTGTGACCTCCCTCAAACCCCTGTTGTAATTCTGAACTGCCTTCTTCTTCTCTGGAAGGGTCAGGCCGGGGAGGCAGTCTCCACCTCTGCCCAGTCCCTGACAGAATGGGGCCGGATGTTTGCTCTGTACACCCTCTCAACTCGGCGTCGGAGGGAGAGGGAGTTTCTCAAACTTTGCCAAGTGCAACTTTCCTCATCACGGTGGTTTCTGGCAGCCCTGTTGCTCTGAGAAGAGAGTGATTCTCTTCAGGATATAGTCCAAGGAGGAGGAACATCCAGACTGAGGGTGCCAGCAGCAGCCTCTTTGCCCTCGCCCACGCACCTGGCGCCTCCGGGTCTTCCCTGCCCTTCTCGCTCTGGCTGTCCTCTTGGCCGTCCGCGTTCTGGTGAGTGTGCTGCAGGCTCATCTTGTGGCAGACCTCAAATGCTTGCCCCACAGTTCGGACAATGCGCATGGCCTGACTCTGCAGAGAGACAAGGAAAGAGGTTCTTCCCGGGACACAAAGAACAATGGACCCTTTGCCGAATCAAGGACCTCTTGCCACCTCTGTCCTGATGCAAACTGGAGAGAAACCCAAGGATGCAACTCCAACGGGGGGTAGCGCCACACAGGATCCTGACCATTCAAGCAGTCCAGGCAAGGCATTTGTGCCCAAGTAACTGTCCCCAGCTCCCCCATCCTCCCTCTCTCTCTTTTATATAATTTTTATTAAATTTTCCATTTTACAATTTAAAATACTCATTAAACATCCTTAAGATATCAATGACTTTCCTACTTCTCTTTCCATGCTTCATTTTGCATATCATAAAACCCTGCATATTTTACATAAACTAAACCATTCAGTGTTCCGTTATTACATCAATCAAAACTTGTTTACACTGTTGATTTTATCTTAATGCTGCCAGGGTTTTCAGCTGTACACAATTATTTCCCATAGATTCAATAAACGTTTTCCAATCTTCTCTAAATGTATGTTCTTCTTGTTCTCTTATTCTATAGGTTAAGTCTGCAAGCTGCACATATTCCATCAGTTTAATTTACCATTCTTCTTTGGTTGGGACCTCACTCGCTTTCCATTTTGGGGCTAACAAAACACGGGCCGCAGTAGTGACATATAGAAATAACCTTTTTTGACACCTGGGAATTTCAGTCTGAATTATCCCCAACAGAAAGGACTCTGTTTTTGGGGGGAAAGTACTTTTAATTCTTTCCCCAATTCATTATGGATCATTTCCCAATACTCTTCTACCCTTTTACAAGTCCCCCACATATGGGCCCTCCAGATGTTTCAGTCTGCCATAGCATGTAAAAACAGAAAGATTAGAAGAAGGGAAAAAACCTTTGGCACCAGAGGTGGTCTTTTCTCATACTAGCTTCAATCTGGGAGAGAAAATTGCCTTCCTTGTAACCTGTTCACAATCCCCATCTAAGTAGGTCTCAGGTTCCACACTGTGTCTCCAGCTGCAAGCTCTGCCAGAGGTGCTATCTCCACATTTACACCAGGATCCTGCCCCACAAAGAGAGATACTCAGAGGCCCCCACCCCAAGGCTTGCCTGCTGCTGGCCAGACCAGACCAGCTTGGAGCTCACCTTCTTCTTCGACTTGAAGACGTTGCAGCGGAAGACGTTGCTGGAGCCATCCCTGGCAATGTAGCTGAAGATCTTCAGGTCCTGGGAATCGTGGGACACGTAGAATATCCTGCAGGAATGGCACAATAATTGTACAGGTGCCCAAGATGCGCAAAAGAGGCTCCCATGCTCTTTGGCTGGGATAGGAGCCTGTGGCCCTCCAGGTGTGGTGGGACTCACAAGTCCCATCACCCCTGGGCACTGGTCATACTGGTTGCCGTGGGTGGGAGTCCAATAACAGCTTCCCACCCGGGCACAAGACGAAATCAGGACAAGGGCAAGTAGGGAACTCCTCTCTTGGAATGGTTATTTGGGGTGGGCTCTGCATAAAGAAGGGACGTGGGTGGCGCTGTGGGTTAAACCACAGAGCCTAGGACTTGCTAATCAGAAGGTTGGCGGTTCAAATCCCCACGACGGGGTGAGCTCCTGTTGCTCGGTCCCAGCTCCTGCCAACCTAGCAGTTCAAAAGCATGTCAAAGTGCAAGTAGATAAATAGGTACCACTCCGGCGGGAAGGTAAATGGCGATTCTGTGCGCTGCTCTGATTCACCAGAAGCGGCTTAGTCATGCTGGCCACATGACCTCCTGAGCGGTACGCCGGCTCCCTCAGCCAATAAAGCAAGATGAGCGCCGCAACCCCAGAGTCAGCCACGACTGGACCAAACAGTCAGGGGTCCCTTTACCTTTACCTGCATAAAGATAAAAAGGTAAAAGTAAAGGACTCCTGGGCGGTTAAGTCCAGTCAAAGGCAACAATGGGCTTGCGGCACTCATCTCACTTTCAGGCCGAGGGAGCAGGCATTTGTCCGCAGACAGCTTTCCGGATCATGTGGCCAGCATGACTAAACCACTTCTGGTGCAACGGGACACTATGACAGAAACCAGAGTGCACGGAAATGCTGTTTACCTTCCCATCGCAGCGGTACCTATTTATCTACAGTGTTACCTCAGGTTAAGTACTTAATTCGTTCCGGAGGTCCGTTCTTAACCTGAAACTGTTCTTAACCTGAAGCACCACTTTAGCTAATGGGGCCTCCTGCTGCCACCACCGCACGATTTTTGTTCTCATCCTGAAGCAAAGTTCTTAACCTGAAGCACTATTTCTGGGTTAGCGGAGTCTGTAACCTGAAGCGTATGTAATCTGAGGTACCACTGTACCTGAACCAGCGTGTTTTCGAACTGCTAGGTTGGCAGGAACTGGGACAGAGCAATGGGAGCTCACTCCATTGCGGGGATTCGAACTGCCGACCTTTCGATCGGCAAGCCCAAGAGGCTCAGTGGTGTAGACCAGTGTTTCCCAACCTTGGGCCTCCAGCTGTTTTTGAACTACAATTCTCATCATCCCTGACCACTGGTCTTGCTAGCTAGGGATGATGGGAGTTGTAGTCCAAAAACAGCTGGAGGCCCAAGGTTGGGAAACACTGGTGTAGACCACAGCGCCACCCGCATCCCTTTGCATACAGGACACCAGGCTTCATGTGGGAACGCTCAGAGTGGTGGGAGGATCCCTCACCCAGAAAAGTCCACCTGCTGTCAACCTGCAGGGGGCATCAACTGGCTTTTGTGAACAGTGACAAGCAAGACCATGTCCTTTTCCATTTTACGTGGGGTTTTTTTTTTTTTGCTTTTAAAGCGACCGAGCCCACCCTCCCCTTGTGCCTCATCTGCAGTAGAGGTTCCCTTCTTCCTGAGACAAGGCTCTGCTTCCCCTTTCATTAACCTGCCAGCAGCGGCCAGAGGTCCAACTGTAGATTTCCTTTGGCCAGACACAGACCGACCCAAGTTAAGTGTGCTACGAGCCGACACTCCTTCCTTGCTCTCGAGATCTCACCTGTAGATGGGGTCGTGCATCACCAGCAGTTTGCTCTCGTCCCAGTCCCACTCTTTCTTCTGCAAAAGAGAGCTGCGTATAAGCAAGACAGATGCCTCACTGAGTGGCAGAGTTATTAAAAATCTCACAAGGAAGGTCTGGTGCGCCCATCATCCTTCAGGTGACCTGGCATCAGCAGATGTCACCTGCAACCCGCAGGGCGGGCAGGCGGGATGAGATTTGACTCTGCATTGGCTGCAAGTGCCTTTTGCCAGGAAGGAAGGGGCACCTGCGGCCAATGCAGCAGGATATGGCCCGCACTAGCCAGCTGATGGGCAAGGCTTAGGTTCTACTCAGGTAAGAGGAGCGCACAGCCAAACAAGGCCTGTAAGCTGTAAAGGTAAAGGGACCCCTGACCATTAGGACTCTGGGGTTGCGGTGCGCATCTCGCTTTCCTGGCCGAGGGAGCTGGTGTACAGCTTCTGGGTCATGTGGCCAGCATGACTAAGCCGCTTCTGGTGAACCAGAGCAGCGCATGGAAACGCCGTTTACCTTCCCGCCGGAGTGGTACCTATTTATCTACTTGCACTTTGATGTGCTTTTGAACTGCTAGGTTGGCAGGAGCAGGGACCGAGCAACGGGAGCTCACCCCGTTGCAGGGATTCGAACCGCCAACCTTCTCATCGGCAAGTCCTAGGCTCTGTGGTTTAACCCACAGTGCCACCCACGTCCCTTTTTTGTGCGCCCGGAAGCAGTGGCAGTGGGTGGAAGGGGAGCAAAGAGGAGAAGGAAGATTCTTTCTCCCCTTGGTCTCCACTCCACCCCCGGCTGCAGGAAGACAAGAAGACTGCGTTTCAAAGCACCTTTTTGTACCTCCCACAAGATCCGTTCTCTCCTTCATTTCCCCCTCAACGCAACAAGAAATGCTGTTGTGCATTTGAAAATGCAGGCTCACTGCTCATTCTTCTCATGGCAACAGCAGCAGGGAGAGAAAGAAGCGTCCTCTGTTTTGTCTGTCTGTCCGTCCGTCCCCGTCCCCCACCACTGTCACTGCTGCCTGTAAGATTACAGACATTTGATTTGACCAATTTTGGTAAGGGCCTGTCTGGCAGAGACAAAAAGAAACCTTGCCACCCAGGTTGCGTCCTGCTGAGCAGAAAGTGTCCCGAGCAAATATGGGGGAGAGTCGGCTCTCTTTTACCTCACGGAGCCAGATAGGACACTGGCTGCCTCATGAAAGTCAACGCTTTCCTTCACGGAAATCTCCTTCCATCCAGCCTAAGGGAGGAATTGCACAGACGGGGCCCAGAGCTTATTGCAGCCCGAGAAATCGGGAGTTTACCTTCTTCTTCTTCTTTTTCTTCAGCAGCACCTTCACACCGTCCACGGACACCATGAGAGTGACCTTCTTCTTCTTTATACTTTTGGCTTTGAACTCGTACTGTGGGGAGAAAAAGCACAACGAGAAGGAAGGCCTCCTCAGCAGCGTCTCCAAGCTATTTGTGAGGCACACGAATCCAGCCCTTGGTCTGCCACCCCCAGAGGCTTATTTCATGCGCAAGGCAGCCCCCATGTCATAGCTACCAAGCAACCTCATAAGGTGGCCAGACAGGTGGGCCACGGACAAGGGCAGTGTCAGCGGAAGACGCAATGTGCTTGGAGGGGATACCCTAGCAAGGAGCTTCCGCAGGCCTGGCCAGCTGTCAGCCTGTTGAGGAAGAGACCTTTTCTTTTTTAAAAATAATTTTTATTCAATTTGTTTTACATTTTAGAATATTCACTTAACGGTAAAGGGACCCCTGACCATTAGGTCCAGTCGTGGCCGACTCTGGGGTTGCGGCGCTCATCTCGCTTTACTGGCTGAGGGAGCCGGCGTACAGCTTCCAAGTCATGTGGCCAGCATGACTAAGCCGCTTCTGGCAAACCAGAGCAGCGCACGGAAACGCCGTTTGCCTTCCCGCTGGAGCAGTACCTATTTATCTACTTGCAATTTGTGCTTTCAAACTGCTAGGTTGGCAGGAGCAGGGACCGAGCAACGGGAGCTCACCCCGTTGTGGGGATTCGAACCGCTGACCTTCTGATCAACAAGCCCTAGGCTCTGTGGTTTAACCCACAGCACCACCCACGTCCCTAATGTTCACTTAAACAACCTTAAAATATCAACGACTTCCCTTCCTCTCTTTCCATGGTTCATTTTGCACAACATAAATTGCTGAATATTTTACATAAACTAAACCATTCAGTATTCCATTATTACATCCATCAAAACTTATTTACACTGCTGGATTTATCTTAATGCTGCCTACGTTTTCAAATATACACAATTTTCCTCCATGTATTCAATAAACATTTTCCAATCTTCTTTAAAGATATGTTCTTGTTGTTCTCTTATTCTATATGTTAGGTCCGCAAGCTGCGAATATTCCATCAGTTTAATTTGCTTATCTTCTTTAGTTGAGACCTTGCTCGTTTTCCATTTCTGGGCTAACGAAACACGGGCCGCAGTAGTGGCATACATAAATAACCTTTTTTGACACCTGGGAATTTCAGTCTGAATTAATCCCCAACAGAAAAGACTGGGTTTATTTTTTTTGGAGGGGGGGGGAGTGCTTTTAAACATTTTTTTCAGTTCATTTTTTCCCAGTTCATTATGAATTATTTCCCATCACTCTTTTACCCTTTTTCAGGTCCACCATATATGATAGAACGTACCCTTTCCTAGCTTCTGAGCCACTTCTGTCTTGTACAAAACAGAGAAGTACAAATGGATGATGGCACAAACTTGCTGTCTCAGCACTTACATGAAGCACGAGCCTCAGGGGCACATTTGTCATGAAGTACAGCCCTCCACAGAATTCCTGAGGCCAGCTCCACGGCAATAACAACAACAACAATAATATATTATTTCTACCCCGCCGAACTGGCTGGGTTTCCCCAGCCACTCTGGGCGGCTTCCAACAGAAGGTTAAAAATACATTAAAACATCAGTCGTTAAAAACTTCCCTAAACAGGGCTGCCTTCAGATGTCTTCTAAATGTCATGTAGTTGTTTATCTCTTTGACATCTGAATGAACTAGGGCGGGACAAGACTGACAAGGCAGGGTTACTTTCGTCCTAAAACCATCAAATACAGTGGTACCTCGGTTTAAGAACAGTCCGGTTTAAGAACAATTTGGTTTACAAACTCCGCAAAACCGGAAATAGTGTCTTGGTTTGAGAACTTTACCTCGGTCTAAGAATGGAAGCTGAACATTGGAAGGGCACCGGTGGTGGGAGGCCCCATTAGGGAAAGCGAGCCTCGGTTTAAGAACGGTTTCGGTTTAAGAACGGACTTCTGGAACGGATTAAGTTAGTAAACCGAGGTACCACTGTAGTTTCATTCAGGATCCTGAGACATCATCTGGAGGTATGATAACGGGGAGTCATAGGTGACCCCTGAAAGATTTTAAGACTTCAGTATGTTCTCTGCATGAAGATCTCAGATTGTGTGACGGAGCCTCTATGCACCTTCAGGTACAGAGTGAAATCCGAGCTTATGATGGAAAATTATTGCACAAGCTGCTTTACAATAACTGTTTTATACAGGAGAATAAAGCAAGGATTGTTTTCGTACATGATTCACAGCTGCTGAGAAAGACCTGCTGAAAACTAAGGGCTCATCCACACTTTCTAGCCACAGACTCATGCTTCCCCTGCCCATGTTTGAACACTAGTTGTTTTTTGGTCGTCCCCCCCCCAGTGCTTTCTTCAGGAAAACCCAACATTTACTACTGAATTGGAGCAATTTGAGTTGTCCGCAGATTGCCATTTGTTCCGATTCCGCAGTAAAGAGCAGTATTTTAAAGGGAGAGCACTGGGGCAAAAAGGAAGGAAGGAAGGAAGGAAGGAAGGAAGGAAGGAAGGAAGGAAGGAAGGAAGGACTCAAACACAGACCTAGAAAGCCCTTGCCCTTTGCCCAGAGCTGTGCAGAGCGAAGGTTAGTGTGGTTGAGCCCTGAGTAGGCTCCGTCACTGATGGGGATAGGGTCCTTGCTTAGCAATAGGAAACCTTTTTTCCTTGGTGTACATCAGTCCATAAAGAAGGCTGATCACTGAAGAATTGATGCTTTTGAATTATGGTGCTGGAGGAGACTCTTGAGAGTCCCGTGGACTGCAAGAAGATCAAACCTCTCCATTCTGAAGGAAATCAGCCCTGAGTGCTCACTGGAAGGACAGATCGTGAAGCTGAGACTCCAATACTTTGGCCACCTCATGAGAAGAGAAGACTCCCTGGAAAAGACCCTGATGTTGGGAAAGATGGAGGGCACAAGGAGAAGGGGACGACAGAGGACGAGATGGTTGGATACTGTTCTTGAAGCTACCAGCATGAGTTTGACCAAACTGCGGGAGGCAGTGGAAGACAGGAGTGCCTGGTGTGCTCTGGTCCAGGGGGTCACGAAGAGCCGGACACGACTAAACGACTAAACAACAACAACATCAGTTCTTAAGGAATAGCAATACTGCAGATGAGACGCAGATTATTTCACGCTGTCATAACCATGACAGAAGATGATGTCAAGGAAGGATGTGTGAATCAGTCAAGATACCCAGGTGTTGGGAAGGTCCAAACACACAGTATGAAGTCAGGGGTGAGACATTCCTATCAGGAAACGTAAGGGCCATTGCGATAGCTGGAGGCAGCTCCTCCATTGGTGATGGAAGCATCGTCCAACCATGACAGCTCTTCCTTTAACCAGAACAGAAGTATGAAAAGCCAGACAGAAGCACAGACTGAGAATTATTCTCCCCACTGAATTTCTGCACTTTGGACCAAGTAGAGCAAATTATTTAATCAACGACGGACGTGGTTCAGTTGGCTGCTTGCTTCCTATATTTGTAACGCCAGCTTCGCAAACTGCATAGCTTTTGTTTTATCTCAAGTTTATTTTGCATTGCATTTCATACCCATGGGCTCACCCAAATGCTCAAGTAGATCTTCATTTTCTTTATTAGTTACAGATCTGTGTGGGACGCGGGTGGTGCTGTGGGTAAAAGCCTCAGCGCCTAGGGCTTGCCGATCGAAAGGTCGGCGGTTCGAATCCCCGCGGCGGGGTGCGCTCCCGCTGCTCGGTCCCAGCGCCTGCCAACCTAGCTGTTCGAAAGCACCCCCGGGTGCAAGTAGATAAATAGGGACCGCTTACCAGCGGGAAGGTAAACGGCGTTTCCGTGTGCGGCTCTGACTCGCCAGAGCAGCGATGTCACGCTGGCCACGTGACCCGGAAGTGTCTCCGGACAGCGCTGGCCCCCAGCCTCTTGAGTGAGATGGGCGCACAACCCTAGAGTCTGGCAAGACTGGCTCGTACGGGCAGGGGTACCCTTACCTTTACCTTTACAGATCTGTACCATTTCTAAAAACCATCCACTTCTGTAACCACAATGCAAACTCTTAAACGTTGTATCTTATCTTTAATAAAAACGTCAATGCCTCCTGGTTAAATCCTAAGTCGGCTGTTTTCTGGCTTGGTTAGCTACCGGCAGGTCCTCAAGCCAGATACCGGCCTTAACTGACCATTGGGCTGCTGAGAAGCACATTTACAAAGACTTCTCCGAGTGTTACTATCTCCTAAAGGGAATTGAACCATGGGAAACTGCTTCATGTCATCTCCATGACCCTTATTTATCCAGACAATCGCTCCATGGGTCAGACTTGCTCCAGGCAGGGGACCAGTATAGAATTCTGCATTTGCAAACTGCCAAGAGAGGGGCATATACTGATCATTTCGGGGCAGGAACAGGGAATGGCAATGTGATAGAAAGCTGGATTTCCTTGTCAACAATGTCACAGAAGGACATAGGCCTGGTGCCAACATCAAATCACAGAATCAGGAAGATCCTGTTTTCAAAGGTCACATGTGACAGAATTCATCAGTTTAATGCACACTGCTTCTACCTCTCAATAGTTTACACAAGCAAAACCGCATTTTTCGCCCCATAGGATGCACCGGCCCATAGGATGCGCAATACCGCATTTTTCGCCCCACAGGATGCACCGGCCCATAGGACGCACCTAGTTTTTTTGGGGGGAAATAAAGGGGGGAAATATTTTTTCCCCAGGTGTGGGGCTGGGGCGGGGGAAGCCCGAGCTTCCCCCAACCCCAGCCCCCAGAACAGGCTGCTATCCCACGTAGAGCTAGTGTAGAGCTGCGCGAAGCCTGAAGCTTGGGGCGTGCTGAGCTCAGCGCGCCCCAAGCTTCTGGGTGCAGGCAAGCTCTCCGCTAGCCGTGGGAGAGCTGCGTCTCCCACGGCTAGCGGATAGCTTCCTGAAGCCTGCATTCGCCTCATAGGACGCACACACATTTCCCCTTCATTTTTGGAGGGGGAAAAGTGCGTCCTATAGGGCGAAAAATATGGTAATCCACAGTAGCATAATATATTTTATTAGGACCAGCCAAACGTGTCACAA